AATGTCGTATGAGACAACCCAACAATTAAAATTCGTTATTAAGTAATGGTTCAATTATATGCCAATTATGTAATAAGATCGGACAAAGCAAAAGAATGTCGCGAAACCCAACCGACTTCAGGTTTATCGAACCAATGCAGGGATTGTAAGGAAACGGGTCATTCATTGGAAAACTGTGTTCTGAGAATCGAAAATAATAACCGAAGACAGGGAAACCAAGTGAATTCTTCGATTACGGGCGCGACTCGGGGAACCGCCGGAACTGGGCGCCCAGTAATGACGACCCAGGGCGAAGAGATTATAACCGAAATCCCCTAATTCGACAGGAACAAATAAAATTGAATAAAGAAAGTTGCGTTCCCACAATCCAAGTAAGCTTGAACGATAACAATTGTTACGAAATTTTTATGCTTGACACAGGATCAGGACCTAATTTGGTCAGAGAAAATAGAATTCCCAAGAAGCAAATAATAAATCCGAATCGTATATTAAAGTTAAATGGTATTAATGAACATTCCGTATATACTTCAGGGGAGACAGTCATAACAATTTTAGGCGTACCGGTTAACTTTCTTGTAGTTTCTGACAATTTTCCTATTCAATCAAGCGGAATTGTAGGTAACGACTTTTTCCAACAAACCGGAGCGAAAATTGATTATTCCAAAGGGCATTTAGATGTTTTAAATACTAAAATTCCTTTCTATTCTCCTGAGTCTATAATAATTCCTGCGCGTTCGAGGGGATTGTTCTTCGTGCGTATTGGAAATCCGCATATTAAGGAAGGATATCTACCTAAGATAACTATCGGCAACGGCGTACAGGTAAAAACAAACGATCTGATAAAAAACACGGACGGCAAAGCTTACACAGAAGTAATAAATTCTTTGGATACTGAAGTAGAAATTCTCGTACCCACTTATAATATACGACCTGCGAATCCCAAGGACAACAAAAATGGTAACGTTTTGAAAAATAATAACGATAAAGAAATTAATTCTGGCTGCAAAGAAAAAGGAACTCAGGTTCTCGTATCGCAAAATATACTAGGAAAAGGGGACGATTTCCAGATTCCCCAACCTTCGAAAGATAGCGGAA